CTCCTTCCAAAGAGCTATAGTGCAAACACTTGAAGGTTTCCTTGCCTCAAGTACCACACCACGTTGAAGGATACAACTTTTTGATCAAACTTCTTGATTAAAAAGGGGGTAGGTCAACTTTCTTACAAGTTGATCTTGCAAGTCCTATTGTTCGGATCTTGCAGTTGTTGAAGAAGCGTGACCTTCGAAGGAACAACAAAGCCAGCACGAGTGCAGTAGCAACATTGGTCTTGCGAAGATATACCGTGCAGAAATTCACACAAGTGTAATTGTTGGTTCATTATTCAACAACCAACTACATAGTGGATTTTGAGGACGTAGAAGGATTACCCCACCTTCGAACCTCGTTAAAGTTTGCGTGTCTCTCTCTTTTATCTTTACTCTTACTTGCAATTACATTAACTGTGAAAACTAACCCATCCATATTGATTATTGCTCACTCTACCCACCAAACTCCGCACACAATCTAAAGTTCTCAAGAACTCTAGATTAACACTTATTTTCACGTTTTCAAAAGAAACGAAAAAGATTTTAAATTTGTAACAAAGTCTATTCACCCCCCCTAGACTTTGTATCTCACCACTTTGGGACCACCAGTCAACAAGGATGATATCCGTTTGTTTCATGTTCTTTTGAACGACGTCAAATTTGATTGGATCCATTTCTTTCTCATTGGTCTTCGTGATGGCTCTCGACTCCATCACCTTCGTTTTGTCGTCCCTATTATGCTTATCCTTCTCAATTCGGGAGTGGACTTTTCACGGGACATAAGGGTACCGGTGAAGAAGACATGTTTCATCCAAGAGACAAAGTTCATCCGTGTCGTTTGCCGGAACGAGGGTGAAATGCCTCAACAAGGAGTGATCGAGCAAACTGAAGGCATCCTTGAGAGTGAAGCCGAGACCGAGGCCGTTCGTAGCCGCTCTAGAGCAGGACCTAGCACTGCTGGCGAAGGAACAAGCAATGCAGGGGAAGAAACTAGCCGAGCCGCGGTAAGAGAAGCCCGACGCCGAAGCCCAAAACCAAGAGCGGATGAGACTGAGCCCTCTTGGGTCCGGAGGATTTTGGATGCCCTCACATGTGTTCGTGACAACATCAGACATCTTACTGATCGTGTCTCCCGCCTTGAGGATCCCCGCTTCTCTCGCTCATACCGAGGTCCACGACACAGCTTTTTCGGAGGACCTAGGCCGGCAAACTCTCTTTGACCTTTCTTTTTCTATGGCTTTAAGAACTTATGTCTCTTTAACTTATTTCATGCTCATGACATTATGATAGCTCCTTGTTGAATGTTTGTTTAAACTCTAATTATTATTGCTTATGTAATTGTTTGGCAATATGCTTCTCTCCTAGAACATATTGTCCCTTTGGAAATTAAATTGCATCAGTTCACTTTTCAAGGGAAACTCTTGATAATGCCAAAAGGGGGAAGGAAGGATAGTTGAGAAGTCAAACCTGTATCGATCCACGATTGATGCTTGCAAGTAGTCAATCGATTATGCGAGAAAGGATGAGATTTGTTTGAAAATCGTGGATCGATACACGATTTCTTCGATACACGATTTTCAAACCTGGATCGATATTTGTTTGAAAATCGATTTATTATACCACAAAAAGTGGACAAGTATGGTGTACTTCCCACGGAGGAATAGGTGGCTTTGTGCTAAAATACGATAGACTTCCATTAGCAACTCCTAGATTTCCTTCGATGTTCTCAAAATCAATGGGATTCACCTTGTGAGGCATTGTTGAAGATCCAATTTCACCAGTTTTAGTTATCTGCTTAAAACTTGAAATTGCTATTACTTCGATCTTTACATTGTTAAAGGTCAAATACATTTAATACTTTCAACAATTCCCTCCCTCCCTCCCAAAAAGAAATGAGTAGAATACAAGACCAGATTCAAGCTATTCGCGATGAGATTTTAATACAGAGTATTATTTAATTAAAAAATAATATTTTCAAATATTATATATATGAGCTATTAAATAAAACAACTATACAGTTACAACACTAAAATTGACCCATAGCTCATTTTTTAACAGAAGAAGAAGAAACCAATCTAAAAGAACCAGTATACTTTAGGATTCAATACAATAGCTCTTCTTTTAGGATTCAAAACAATAGCACACAAAAACGGGTCTAAACCAGATATTACTTTATAATTCATCAATAAAATACGATTCAAAAACTAGTCTAAATCAATAGCTCTTCTTTTTACCTTGCACAGTGTTGGGAAAAAAGATGATATAGAATAAATTTTTAAAATAAAGCCTTAAAAACCCTAATTTGCAAAAAAATTAAAAGATTTCGAAAATAAATCAAACCTGTATCGATCCACGATTGATGCTTGCAAGTAGTCAATCGATTATGCGAGAAATCAAAAAATAAAGGCCGGCTATCAATTTGAGAGTATGGAAATCGATCGATTTTCGTGTTTAGATCAAGATAGGAGAAGACCGAGAGAGTTTAGCGACGAGAGGGAGCGAGTCTTCTAATCCAGAGATGCGTGCTGAAGTTCTATTAATTTGCACTGCTGAAGTTTTCACAGCGCCACCGCTGTGTAAGCTTAAAAAAAGAGTAATTGGAATAAGCGTTAAACCTTGAAACGGCTCTAGTCATAGACCTTAAAATTTACACAGCCCTTTTAAGTTATTCGCTGTGTAAAGTGCACTTGTGTAATGTCTATTCTGTAGTAGTGAAAGTTGATTATCTTCTTTCTATATTAATATCCTCTTAAATGCGTACTCATTTAAAGCCTTTAATTTACTTTCTTTTTTATAATAACGCATGCAATCATTATATATCATACAGTGGCGAATCCAGTGCAAGGCCATGGGGGCACTTGCCCCTAGTCAAAGCCTATAATTATCAAGAGTTACATCGATTAAATTTATGGTGCCTCCATTCTAAAATGTGTGGTTCCCCCACTAATTTTTGTAAGTTTTACTCCTCAAATATAAAAAAAAGTTGGGAGCAAAATAATATGTATTTATATATATACTACCTCCGTCCCACTGTCTTTGTCCACTTTTGACTTTTGGAACTGTTCATCTAAGCACTTTGACTCATCAAATTCTCTCAATGTGTAAGCCTAAAAATAGTCATGTGTGATCTTGTTTGATTCGTCTTAACATATAGATTATTAATATATAATTTCTATAATTTTTTAATATACAAATTACAAGATAAAATGGATTAAAGAAGTGCATTGGATGATGTGCCAAAAGGTAANATATGTATTTATATATATACTACCTCCGTCCCACTGTCTTTGTCCACTTTTGACTTTTGGAACTGTTCATCTAAGCACTTTGACTCATCAAATTCTCTCAATGTGTAAGCCTAAAAATAGTCATGTGTGATCTTGTTTGATTCGTCTTAACATATAGATTATTAATATATAATTTCTATAATTTTTTAATATACAAATTACAAGATAAAATGGATTAAAGAAGTGCATTGGATGATGTGCCAAAAGGTAAGTGGACAAAGACAGTGGGACGGAGGGAGTATTTCTTTACATTGATAACAAACTATTCAATATTAATTTAATTAAACAAATAACATTGTACTCTTAAGCAAGTTCTTATATACTGTATAGGTTTATACTTATTTTATGATTCTTAATTTAGAGTTGCTATAAAATAAAATAAATAGTGTATTCTAAAACTTACATATTACGGAGTATAAGTTTTTCATAAATTATACTCCCTTTGTTTTACAAAAAAGTTCCATTTTAAATAGTATTTAGTTAAATATTTACACGCTTTGACTACAAATTGTGAGAAAAATATATTGAATTATAAAATAAATTTAATATAATTGGATTCATCTTAGGATCTAGTTTTGATATCTCAAATTTTTTAGCAATTCTTTATTTAGATTATATTTAATTTATGTTAAAACGTGTAACTGTTTGACCAATTTATTGTCAAAATGAGAACTTTTTCATGGGGCGGAAGGAGTATTATATTATAAGAATCATATACATAAAATTACATTTTTAAAATAATTACAAACACGCAAGTAACAGCCAACCATCAACTTTCAAACAAGGCCTTAATTTATTTGCATTATTAATGATTGTTTGAATATAATATGAACGTGAAATCTTTAAACTTTGATAAATGAAGCCTAATTATAGAGTAATATATTGTGTAAATTACATTTTACCATTTTAAAACATTTTAATTTTAATTTTTTAAAAGATGATTTGAGAGTCCAATACTTAGAGAGTCCAGTAACAGCCCTTTCACGGCTCAATACTTAGAGAGTCCAGCCGTTCGGCCGAAAGGTTTGTCGTTCCAGGCAATTCGGTTCTCCAAGAATCTTTCAAAAATTTCCAGTTGGACTCAATCCGACGCCGAAATTTGCACCGGATTGATCTGGGGATGGGGGTCGAGATTGAACGGTTGAGAACAGTGTGGACTCCGGATATGGACAGATATTTCGTGGACCTGATGTTGGAGCAGGTCGGGAAATGGAACGGCGCTGATCATCGCACCTTCAGCAAGCAAGCCTGGAATCAAATGGATTGTTCCGTTTGACCCACACAGAAGTTGCTGCTGAAACTCAATCCAGGTATTCTCTGTTACTCTATGGAGCATGACGATGACCTTTGCTCAACCACAACTGCCGCAAGTCAATACCCTCTTTCTATTGCCAAAATGGTAAAATTCTAATATAGCACTCCATATTGATTCTCTAAACTATTGTTTAGCCATTAATTAGAGGTTGAATTCACATCATCCTATGATTATTTTTGAGTTATTTGATGTCCATGTCCGTTGATTACATTTTTTATTTTCTTAGGAATTGATTAACACCAACACTTTAAAATGTGCCCATTTTTTGAGTGTTTTACACAATTAATAGTTATATTTTTGGAATATGTGAATTTGTGATTTGTAGATTTTTTGATTAATTATTTATCAGCCCTAAGATTGTTTTTCATTTTTCTCCAGTTTCAGTTGGCATTAGATTATCAAAGAAATTTGTCTCTAAGTTCATAGCCCTCAGAAAAATCAAAGTTGAATCCAAATGTTAAGGTAAGTAGTCAAGTATCTAGATTAAATTTTAAAAAGATTGGTGCACTTCAATTGTTCGATGAATTGCCTGACAAACCAAATGGAGCAGCGAAAGGGGTCAACACTAGGGAGTTCTGTACCCAAATGTTATACTCAAGTATGACATTGCGTTCTCAGCTTCATTGAGGGTCAAAGGTCACAATGTTCCAGGCGGCGTGAGTAGGCAATTCTGACCAAAATTCCTAAAAAAATGGTTGCTGCCTTGCCTTCCCAATTTCCTGTCACCTCACCCTTCTGCCACAGTCCCATATGGTATCTCCAAATCTATTTCTCCTCTTTTTTTTATTTGTATTGAATTCCTATTTTTTAGGTTTTTATTTAATATGTAATAAAGATCTATTTAATATTTCTTGGCAGGGGAATGAAGATCTATTTATAGTTCATGTTCCTCTAGAATATGGAAACTGTCGATCATCTCAAATTGGGAGTAACAATGAGCTCTTTATAGCAAAACATTCAAATTGTGTCATGTTATGTGCATTCCTATCACCATTAGTATTCTTCCAATAATAATGACGTGCGACTGGAAATGCATGTGCGTATCTGCAGATACCAAAGTATGGAATATTCGAGAATGTGAACACATTGAAGGATCTAGCAGAAATGCCACATTGGACACCTGAGAGACCCTTGAGAGTAGCTACGGGTTTCACATATGCCTGGTGTACTGCAGTGTGACATATTCATCTTCTTTTTCCCACATACAGAGTATATATTATTGTGGTCACAATTATTATGTTTATGTTTGATGATATTTTTCCCTTAACATCCTTCATTTCTTTCACAGATGGGGCCCAAGTTTATGAATGAAAAAGGACTAAATCATGTTACCTTTTCAACTCGAGATGGAGCACTGAAGGCTACTCCAGTAAGACCAAATTTACCTATTTTAAACAGATTCAGTTTTCTCAAGTCCCGTCTTATTGAGATTGACTGTGAGTTTTCTTAAGTCCAGTCTCATTAAGATTAACTGTTTGTATTGTACTACGTATATAAATGAAATACTTCTTCTCTTTTTCACAAATCGATTGCTGTTATCATTTCCTCATTTCTTCCTAATATAGATGGGGATAGTCGATGCAATTGTAGACCTTGTGAGCAGTGGAACAACTTTGTGAGAGAACAATCTGAAAGAGATTGCAGGTGGAGTCATCTTGCAAATTCAGGTAATTTTTCAGCCTCTAATGCTAATGGGTTTTTGTGTTCTACTAATGTCAATGTGGAGTGTTTATTACTCAAAAAGTTATTGATTGAGACTAAATTTACTAGGGAGAGAAAAGGTTTTGAAAAATATGTATACAC